GTAGTTCCAAGGCGCATCTTGTGTCAAGCGGAGCATCCGACCTAGCTGTGCTTCCCCTCACTCACTCACACGCTCAACGGAGGGAGGTACAACGAGTCTAGCCCGAAATTAAAAGCCCTCTGAGAACAGCCCTAAGCCGTGAAGACGCACTACAGCGCGAGCACAGCCCACCGGCCATAACAGCTGAACGCCACGTATGGATAGCCCATACAGCGCCAGCACATGGCACGCCTGCCGCTTCGCAAACGTGACAGTCTATACAAACATCCAAACATTAGCTTCACCGGCTTCCGGTGGTGCCATTGACCTCATCAAGGAACCTCTGCAGCTGGCGCTCAAGATCGCCTGCTGGAGCCACTCCTGGCAACTCTCGCACTTCCTTGTCTCGCTTCAAGTCCTCCCTGATGATCTGCCAGACTTCGTCCGACGGAGACTTGTCCACGATGTTGATCTCCAAACGCTTGAGCTCCGCTCTGAAGGTCTTCTGGATTCGAGCGTACTTGACCTCGGCGTGAACGGCCTTCCACCCCAGCTCTTGGTATTTGCTCGCGTACTCCTTGAGAGTCATCCGCGAACTCTGAAGCGTGAGATCCTGAGTGGTCTTCTGTCGATCTTCCAAGGTTCGCATTGCGACGCTCAGCAGAACGTTCCACACATGGATGTGAGGCAGGCCTAGCTGCTCTTCCTTGTCCTTGGTTGACATTTCTTTGGCGGCCTCTGCGAACGCCTTTGTGGCTTTCATGGCCTCCTGGATGTACCGGTTGTCCGTCAGAACTTGGTGCACCTCCAGCAGAATGCTCCTCAGAGCCCTCAGCTGTAGATTCAAACCTCCGGTGGTTTTTTGCAGACGCGATGCTGCTAAAAATGGATGAGCACATCGGGCACTGGTTGGTTACAACAAGGGCCGTAGCATGTAGTTGACTTCCGTGCTCTCCGTCCTGAGCAAACCTCTCATGCGCATGCAATGCCTTGAGGTTGGGAAACCACTTCCCACAACACTGCCGTCTGCACGAAGAAAACCACATTCGAACCCATCCACGGCATTGACATCATCGGGCGCAGAAGGTGGCAGCTCATCAAAGTGTTCCGGGGGCGGAATCTGCACGGAAAGTACACTGGCTCTGAGCTCAGTGACGTCAATGGAGCAGAAATCTTTCCTCAGCTCATTATCCCACAGTAACCGCTCCGGGTTGCCCTGAACCTCATCAAGGCAACATCTCGACACCTCAAGTGTAGCGAGCAATTCAACATCACGACATAACTGCTCAACCCAAGGATGTGCCACAGCACGCTGTCGTTCTCCAGCCTCAAATGGGCTGGCCAAGCATTGACTGAAACCAACGAAGCCTGGCAATAGCGAGCTCCGTGCCAACATCTGCTACACCTGCTCTCGTCAAGACCTGCCGATTGGTCAGAGCACGGTATTTCACGGTAATTCCGTCTTCGTTTGTAGATTTATGGCAGGCACGACCCTGCAGCAGTTTGCGAAGCAATCCCACCAAGAATGAGTCCATCTTGCTCACGAAACTTGCATGTATATGCCACGCCACCAAACCAGACAGCAAGGTTTGAACAACGACACATCTGAACACCAAAAGTTTAAATCGCATGTCAATGTTTCGAGACCAGAAGCCTCGAAAATCACACCATGCTTGCCGAGCGGCCTCAATGCGCTTTTGACATTCAGGCGCGAAGGAACAAATCCCAGTGCAGGTAAGGTCCAAGGTATCTGGCGTCTTTCTTGCAACCCAACCAGGCAGAAGATCAGGTGTCATAAATATTTCACGAGTGAGCTTGTGTGAACCGCCTCCCCGCAGACTGAGCAATGTTTCAGCCTTGCTAGAGTTCGGCACCATCTCAAGGTTGTTCAGGGCTTCGTCCAGAACAGTTGAAGACTTCTGCACTTTCTTAAGCAAGGACTGATGGTGAGTGTCCGCCAAGCGCGAGGCCATATCATCGACGAAGACCGTGGTTGCGACAGAAACCGATTGCGTATCATGCTGCAGTCCACCTACACGCATTGCACTTAGCCATCGCTTCTTCATGCAAGTTCACTGCCTTCCAATAGATCTGATTAAACGCATCAGTAGCAATAGGACTGCCTTGTGGGAAACCTGCACCCGGTTGCAGCAAGATTGCACCATCGCACGCTGAGAGTTCACAGCGGTGGCCCACAATATGCTGCAAAAGAATATTTACAGCCTGTGAAGGTGGCAAGCCTTCAAAAAACTCCTTCACACAGGCATGAGAGGGAGATGGGAAGGCATTCTTAACACCGTACAAATTTAAAACAAACGATACACCACTTGCTCTCAGGCGGAAAGCCATAATGTTTTGGACAGCGATCGCTTCTTCACGCCTTCTGTCAGTAATCGCCCCCATACGCATAAGCAGGAGGCTTTGCCAAGTAGGGAAGCACTGACTGTTTCCAAAGCATGCGATAGCATGCGGTAGTATGACTTTGCCAAAGCACCAAAAGCATGCACAATGCGCACATCACTGCAAAGACCTTCATCAGAGACGTGTGGCTTGCAGGCCTTGTGAACACAGTGCCCAGCACTCAACTGAAAGTTGCAAGGTGTCAAGCCAGTTGCGCGTATGCAGGCCAACAAGTGGAAAAGCCAACGCTGGCCAGTCTGTGCAATGGGAAACAAGCGCGAGTGCCCAACACCAAAACGAGGCAGGACGCGAACCGCTTGTGGAAACAATAAGAGGCGCCACACCTCCAATGGAACCTCACCTACAGGAACACTTTTGCGGTAGGAGCCTTGTAACACGCAGTGCGACAGAGCTCGAAGGTCACGCATAGCTTGCTCACGGTGTGCACGACATATCGTGTGAACTTGCATGTCAACGCCTTGCAAGGGGAGATGCTTCTCGGTTGGAGTGGCCGCCCAGCCACCATCCTTGGCTGCCATGACGATGGGCACGATGGGCACGACCCCGTCACACGACTGCGCGCAGAATGCTTTTCCGGTAACTTTTTGGCGCAACCCCCCCCCCCCGTATCCCCCCGTAACCGATTCGTCACTCTCGTCGTTTTCTGCATTGCAAAAGGGGGCCATTGGAGCCCAGAAACCGCCTCTATCACCCGCTGCCAGGCTGCGAGAGCTGCCTGGATGCAAAAATGGAGCGGTGGGTTGGCAATAGCTGCCCAGCAAACCTTCCTCGACCTCTCTGCCGACTTCGACCCGCACCGAAGCTTTCAAAAGCATCACGTGCTACATCGGCTTTGACTCGGCGAACAGGGTCGTTTGTTGCAGCGACACACGGGAAGCCTGCTAGAGTTCAGGATGTGTGCGGAGCTTGCGCGCCGTGGTTTACTGAAGTGCCAGCGCTGGCTTTACATGGGCATCAGGTCGTGAGAAAAGGTCGCGCTGGATGGGGGTTCACCAATGTCGTGGCGACTGCTTGAGCCCCCCCCGTTGGAGTGGAAGGCCGTTAGCGACGACCTCGATCCTTCGGCCGTCGGTGGCGGGGAGAACAAGTTGAGTCTTGAGTTCTCGCAGACCGACGCTTGTGGCGACCGTGGCGCTGGCCTGCCTGCAGATGAGCGCGCCGCGGCGCGTTCCAGCGGACCTCTCGCATCGGCATCGCTTGGGTCCCAGCGTCAAATTTCTCAGCGCCGCAAGCACGCCGCATACCCTGAGCTTACGCTGGGCGGGCCACAGACGCTCGTCGTGCTCAGCTCGGAGGTCGGCGGCCGCTGGAACGCCCAGGCTCGTCGCTTCGTGCAGCCACCGTGGCGTGGGCGCGGCGTTGGTCGAGTATGCTGGTCGCAAAAAGTGTTCGGTAAAAAAAATATGCTGTCTGTGGCTGTGCAGCAGGCAGTCGCTGGCACGGCTTTTAGGAGGCCGGAGCAGGCCCACCGCTCGACGGCATCCTCCACCACGCTGCCCAGGGACGGAGCCGCTTGCCTTTGCGGCCTTAGAGCGCAGGCAGCGTCCCTGCCGGGACTCAAAAGGACGCCGACTTGCAGGAGCAAAAAAGCAGCGAAAAAGAAAAAACACAGGTTTTCGATTGCAGCCTGATTGCAGCAGCTCCTGCGCGTCACATGCCGCAATGGGTTCAGAGTGAGTGTTCCTTAGTGCTGCTTTGACGTGCTTCGCATACTGCACCTGAGATTCCAATCGAAACCGGTTGTTTCAGATCCGAGGTTTTCAGATGCAAGCGAATATCAGTTGTTGCCCCTGCAAGTGCCACCGCTGACACGTGACTACAGGAACAGTTGTGCGTGCATGTTTTTTTTATTGTTTTGCGCAGGCTGTATGTGCAACCTTCGCTGCTTCGCATTGCCCCAAAGAGGTGTGTACCGCGCTCCATGAGGCAGCCGACCTCGACTGCGGTTGTCAGTGAGCAGCCTGCAAAGTCATTGACGATACACTTCTCGGCGAGCTTCAATTGGGCTTCCGGGCCTTTCGCTGCCAGGGCATTCAGCGACCAAACGGGTTCTCAGAGATTGCTCCCCCACGCCGGTGCGTGCCGCTGCCTCTGGATACTTGCCACCTACCGTGGCCGTCCGCTTCCTCGCCGGGCAGCCTGCCCACGTGCGGGACGCCCTCTGGCGTTCCCCCTCGAACGTGTAAATGGCACCCACTGCCGGGCATCTCCCCATTTGCATGCCGATAGCACCGCAGCATGGGGAGATGATCCCAATGCTGTCCCAATGTGTTGTTTTGCAGCTACCAGCTCCTGTGTACATCGCTGAGCACTGCCTTGTTGATAGCCCGTGGTTGGCCAATCACTTGGCTACGTGTGGGTGATGTCTATTGCCGCTGCAAATCCGCACCCTTGCCTGTAACTCCGTACATCCGAAGCACCTGTCTGCCCAGCACCCTTGGGCTAGAGCTAGAGGCTGGGGCGCATGATTGCGTGTCTCATAGGCTTGCACAAATCATCCAATCCTGTGGCAAAACATTTTTCGTGGCACACTTGGGGTTGCTAGTGGCCCGCTAGTGCCGTGTCGACGACCTTCACGAAGTCTTGGCCGATGCGCGCTAATGACCACCTGGGTGCCGATTCCCGGCACCAGGCTGCCGCACGAGGCGCTGCAGGCGCTTTGGCATCGACCTTCGTAAGTCGCGTGAAATAGCGGATAACTGTAGCTGTACGCCTGTACGCTTCACTTCATCATTAAAAATGCTATTTGCAATACATGTTTTGAAAGTCGGTGAGGACTTAGACCTTGTTGTCTGCTTGTTGCAAGGTGGGAAGCTTGTGACATGAATACTTGCAATTGCCCAGGTTCTGGTGCGGTGTGGCGGAAGGGCGCACCCCAATGAGGCACCACTTTCGCAGCTTCTTCTTTGATTTTTTGCTATAATTTGTGCCAAGTCTGCCGAGAGCCTGCGCTGTAACATGCAGTTCATCTGTCCAGCAGCGTGTGCCCTGCAGCAAACACGCTGGTTCAAGCTGAGCTTTCCAGTTTGTTGCGTAAATTATACCGGAGCACCACGAGGCTGGGTGGATCTGTGAATCAGAATCGCTGTCATCAGCGATGTGTGACATGTCTTTTGACCGAGCCATGTTTGTCGTGCAGGTTGGTGGTGCAAGCATTTTCCCGACGGACGCCAACCAAGCATGGATGCGGATCAGTCGTTTGTTGTCTTCAGATCTCAACCTGGCATCAGAGATGTGGCGTCACAGGCCCCTCGAGAACCGGCGCGCATGAGCGCCCAGCACAGAAGCCAAGAAGGAGAGTCGTCCAACAATCGCAAGTGGTCAGCTTTGGGGTGTGCTGCGGTATGTGGTGCTGCGACCGTCCGACGGGCAAAGCGCACACAGAAACGGCAAGTCAGCCGTCAAGTTTACAAAGTTGAGATAGACGTCCCGGATCCGAAAGAAGTCGAAAAGGAGATTGAAACAATTGCAGGGCCCGCAATTTCAAAAGACTTGCAACAAATCGGTCGTGTTGCTTCTGAGATGTTGCACTCGGCAGAGAAAGCACTGCCCAAAGTGACGCTTCCTTCGCTTCCCAAAGTGACGCTTCCAGCAGTTCCTCCAGAGCTGACAGCGGCCGCAAAACAGTTGGCCGCCAAAGTGGAGGCGGCCTTGGGCCCCAACCTGATGGACCTCAGCAAGCTGGCCGCCACTCACCTGCCTCCGGACATCGCCAAGGTCTTGCTGCATCCCCAGGTGCGGGGCAGTGGCCATACAACAGGAAAGTTTTTGAAAGAGAAGGAGAGAGAGCACTTGAGAGGAGGGCCAGGGCACAGGGTGTGAGACCTCGCTGGCCCTGAGGTGCTGGAGCCGGCTATGATGCCGGCAGGCGTGGGCGCTGTTGTGGTGTGGCTCCTGGCCTTGCGCCGGGGCCCGCAGCCTTGGTTGGAGGACCCTCGGAGTTCTCCTGGGCTTGGAGGGTTATGACGCGTTAAGACGGTTTGAGATTTATTCGTGCAGCTGGTGGCAGGAGCTGCCTCGCGAGTACGACTATGGCCGCATCACTGCCTACTGGCAGCGCAGGCCAGCAGAGGGTAAGACAGGGATTTTGTGGTTTTCGCGGATTTTGTGCCCGTGATGAGCTGAGGCCTTTGAAACTCCTCACCCGCTTCGTGGAGGCTGGCATCAGGGTCGGCGGGTTCCTCTTCGCCTTGAAGACCGACGAGTGGACGGGCGCGGAAGACAAAATGCGGCCGCAACGGGCGATCGAAGCCAGGGAGCTGATCACCGATCTCGGGGTGACTTTCATCAAGATCGCACAGGTTTGGGCATCTCGCCCGGACATCCTGCCCAAGGAGTCACTTGGCCGCACATGGCGCGAGGGAGCGACCGATGACCTGGCGTTGTGCGGATGTCCCAGGTGTCAGCTTTGTAGTTTAGTAGGTTTAGGAATTTGATGCACCTCGTGTGAAGCCGATGCTTTCCACTTTGTGCCCAGACTTGCGAGTTCTCGCCTTTGTGGCTTCAGGTACCTGAAGGAGTACGAGAAGCTTTTGGAGCAGGCGGGGTCGTCGCATGCAAGTTGGATGTGGTGAGGCTTCGGGTCGGCTGCTATCGCCCAGGTTTGTCAGGGTGTTCCAACGTAGTTTCGCAGCGAATCGCCAGTGGTGAGGGTGTGCACGAGTTGGCCCGGTACGCTTGCCCTTGCAACTTTCGAAAAGAAGTAGAAATCGGCCATCGCCGAGCACACCGCAAACCACGAAGCCGAGAACCCGGCGGCCAGGTTCGGCCCTTCGGCCGTGACCTCGCGCTGGAGACCTTGCGAAGGAGGGTGGATGGCAGCAAGGCGGCCATCGACTTGAGCCTCGGACGGAATGAGGAAGCGTAGACGAGACATGATGAGACCAGTGCATATCAACCCTTGCTGTAGATGGTCCGCTGGTTGGTACGGGGTTCATGTTTTGTGTCCGGTTCTTGAAGGGTTTCACCGGAGCAGCCTGGAGGATGATGAGCTCAGTCAGTTGAAGGTTGAGAGCCGAGACAAACTTGTTACGATTTTCGGGTGTCCGCATCAAGGTTGCTACCATGACATCTCGTGCCTTCCCTGAAGCCGTCCTCCCACGCACCCATTTCATTGCCCCGCATCAAGACTCCAAGCATCAAGGGTTTGCATGTATACGTGCAGGCATTCATGTATGCATACATACACGGCCACACAGAGCCCGACAGACATCCCTGCATGCATGCCTCATCATCCGTCCATACATACATACATACATATGCAAACTATGTATACATCTATGTACATAGACGCATGTCGTATGTCTCTATACATTCATACATGTGATGTTATGTGTACGCGCGTAGAATCAGGTAGAAGTAGAAGTGTGTTGTGCGCAGGCAGATAGGCTTCTAAAGCCGAAGGTTTGACGACCTCAGCGTTTTCGAGAAGCCCATCGCCTCGGCATCTGTGGGCCAGGCGGGTCGGCTCAGCTCAGGTTTTAGGGATGTTTAGGGTACAGGGTTGAGGGTTCCGGGTTTAGATTATATGTGCTCCTGGGGCCCGGGACGCCGGGGACGCTGGGGACGCCGGGGACGCTGGGGACGCCGGGGACGCCAGGGACGTGGGGACGCTAGGGACGCCGCAGCGTCCGCCAGGGTTGCTGGGGACGCCAGGGACGCTGGGGACGTACGCAAGAAAGACGAGGGAACGCCGCAGCACGGGGGATGGCAGGAAAGGCAGGGCAGGGGAGGCGGATGCCTGGAGAGTGTTGCTGCGAAGACGATGGTGATGTCGTTGGTGGTGTTGTTGATGGAGATGATTTTTATATGATGTGATGGTGATCTTCATGATGATGTGTAGTGGTGTTTCTTTGCGATGCTCGGTGAGTGTTGCTTCTCAGACAATGAAGCTGTCGAAGGTCGTGTTGTTGATGAAGATAATAATTGGTTGAAATAGTGATGATTTTAATGATCATGTGTAGCGGTGGTTCTCTGCGATGCGCGGTGAGTGTTGTTTTTCAGAAAACGAAGATGTCGAAGGTCGTGTTGTTGATGAAGATGATGTTTATATGATATGATGATGATTTTCTATGATGTTGTGTAGTGGTGTTTCTTTGCAGTGGTGTTTCTTTGCGACGCACGTTGAGTGCTGTTAAGTGTTTCGCAGACCATGATGATGTCGAAGGTCGTGTTGTTGATGAAGATCATGATGCTCTGAAACGATGATAAATCTTATGATGACCTGTACTGGTGTTTCTTTGCCCGGAGAGTCTTGGTTCTCAGACGATGGTGATACTTATGTGCACGTATATCTGTATGTATGTAAAGACATATACTCACACGTGTCTATATGTATGCATATACATTGTAGCTTATAAATGTGTTATGTATATACATATGTACACATATATATATATATATATATCCACAAGTATGTGTATATACACATATGGATGTATACGTATATTATGTGCATTTATATATACATATGTACATAACCTGATATATGTGTACATACATAAGTGTTTATATGTGTACATATATATGTATGTACACATATGTGCATATGTATATGTAGATGTATATGCGTATATACACATATATGCATATACATATACATATGCATATACAGATTTATGAAGATGTCAAAGGTCCAGCTGTTGACGAAGATCATGGTTCTCTGAAATGATGATGAATTTTAGGATGATGTGTAGTGGTGTTTCTTTGCGATGCCCGGAGAGTGTTGCTTCTTAAACGATGGTGATACTTATATGCACGTATATCTGTATGTAAAGACATATACTCACACGTGTATATATGTATGTACACAAATGTATATGTATATACATACCTTGTAGCTTATAAATGTGTATGTATATATATATATATACACATATGTATATATCCACAAGTATGTGTTTTTGCGTACATGGATGCATACATATACATCCATATATATATATATATGTATATATATATATATATATACACATAAACATAATATGGTATATGTGTATATACATCAGTTTTTATATGTGTACATTATATATGTATGTACACATATGTGCTTATACATATACATATGTTTATACACACGTGTACATATATGTACATATATACATCTGCCATACATATATACACACACACATACCTGTATACATCAGACTGAAGGCACAAGTGTTTATATGTAGATGTATATGTGTAAGTACACATATATGCATATACATACACATATGTATATAAAGATCTAAGAAGATGTTGAAGGTCGAGTTGTTGACGAAGATCATGAATCTTTGAAACAAAATTTTGATGATGATGATGTGTAGTGGTGTTTCTTTGCGATGGCCGGAGAGTGTTGCTTCTCAGACGATGGTGATACTTACATGCACGTATATCTGTATGTATGTAAAGACATATACTCGCGCGTGTATATATGTATGCATATACATTTTGGCTTTTAAATGTGTAAATATATATATATATATATATATATATATATATATATCCACAAGTATGTGTATATACATACATGGATGTGTATACGTATACATGTACATATATATGAACATAATAATATGATATATGTGTATATACATAAGTGTTTTTATGTGTACATACATATGTATATGTATTTACACATATGTGCATAGACATATACATAATTATATACAGACTTGTACATATATGTATATATGAATGCATACATATATATATATATATATATACACACAAATTAATATATATATATATATATATATATGTATATATGTACACATCAGACTGACGCGGGCGACGCTGCATGGGGACACAAGGGACGCAAGGGACGCCAGGGACGCCGGGGACGCTGGGGACGCTGGGGACGCCGGGGACGCTGGGGACGCTGGGGACGCCGGACGCCAGGG